CCAGGGAACCAAGCAGGGAATGCCTTAGTAAAGATGGTGGGACATGGCCACCTGACTGGGCCCTCAGTTAAGATAGTGGGGAGGTCACCTGACTTCAGTCAAAATGACCACAGTCACGTGTTGTATCGAGAAGCCATGGGTTTGTTTTTTGTTTTGTTTTGTTTTGTTTTGTTTTTGAGTTGTGGGAATTTTAAATATAATAACAAGAGAGACCTAGAGGTGTGATCCACCCTGTCACCAAGCTGCCGCACCACAAGCTGCAGTGAGGAGCAAAGGCTGGAATTGAAAACAGCTGCCTCATGGATTCGACTAATCTTGTTGGTTTCGGTGGGACCAGTGGTAGCAGTGGCAAGGATAGTTTGAGGAAAAGCGGAGCCAGTGGGACACCAGCAGAACATTTACAGGCAGGTGGTTGATAGTTTGAGGGATTATATTCCATAGCTGAAAATGTGAAAACCCACAAAATCAGTGAACAAACACCACAAGGCCTGTAGAAGAACGTCTTCTCTCTTCACACAGGTTGTTGATGAAGCCCAACTAGCCCCAATCTGGGCAACTTGGAAGCCAGACAGGCTAGAAACTACTTCAAGCAGTCTCTCATGGTGGGGACCACTTACGAATGGTCTAAAAGAAAAGAAAAGGAAAAAGAAAAAAAAAAACAACTCGAGGAACCCCGGGCCGCAAAGGGAATGCACTTCTCTGTGCATGCAGTGCTAGTGTGGGAGGACCATCCCAGGCAGTCCGATCACATTTTTAGCTATGGGAGGCAATCAGAGATGAATGTCAGCAAAGGGTTCAACTGTAGCCATGAAGACTGTAATTGGGGTAATCCCCCCATTTCTAGGAACACCATAGGATTGCCAGAAGCTCAACAGTTAATTCCTCAGGTTCAGAGAAACGGCTAAGCTGACTGGAAGGGGAAAACTCATCACTGAAGACATTGGTTTGCGTAACAGTCAGTGCTCAGGAAGATACCCAGTTCCTGAGCACAGGGTTCCATGTGTCCTCAGCTGGTCCAGTTGTGGAAGGGAGAGAACATGGAAAGAAGATGGCCAAGTCATGAGCACCAATGTAATGATAAAAATAAAATGGTGCCATTCTCTGAGGGGCAGTATCAGGCAGTGGGCCACGAGAAACAGCAGGTCACAGACAGGAAGCCATTAGCAGGTGAGAGACATCCGATCCTACAAGGAGCTGCAGTGGGTGAGAGACAGAGACAGATAGACACACCATATAGAGTGAGGTTGGATATTTATTTCGTGGGTTATAGAAAGGAAAGGAGAGAGGAAGGGAGAGGGAGAGAGAGAGGGAGAGGAAGAGGGAGAGAGAGAGAGAGAGAGAGAGAGAGAGAGAGAGAGAGAGAGAAACAGAGAAAGACAGAGGAGGAAGAAGAGAAGAGGAGAAGCTATCTCTTTGGGAAAGAGTCAGAAAAAAGAGAAAGAACTCAGTCTGGAAGCAGAAAAAGATCCACTTGCCTCATCAGATTGGGGAGGGAGTGGGCAGGGCTTATATCTTAAAGGGACAGGACAGACCATTACAATCAGAGATGCTTCATCCAATAACTGATGGAAACAGATGCAGACCTACAGCCAAACATTAGGGAGAGTTCAGGGAATTCTTCAGAAAAGAGGAAGAAAGGACTGTAGGAGCCAGAGGAGTCAAGGACACCACATACAAGAAAACCCACAGAATCAACTAACCTGGGCACACAGGGGCTCACAGAGACTGAACTGAAAACCAGGGAGCCTGCATGGAACTAACCTAGGCCCTCTGCATATATGTGACAGTTGGGTAGCTTGGTCCCCTTGTGGGACTCCTAACCGTGGTCTGTTTCTAACTCTTTTACTAACTTTTGGGACCCTACTCCTTATATTGAGTCACCTTTTCCAATCTTAACACATGGGGAGTTGCTTAGACTTACTGCAACTTGCAAGCCATTTTGGGGTTTTCTTGGGTTTTGTTTTTGTTTTTTGAAACAGGGTTTCTCTATAACTTTGGAGCCTGTCCTATAACTAGCTCTATAGACCAGGGTGGCCTTGAACTCACGGAGATCCACCCTGCTTCTGCCTTTCAAGTGCTAGAATTAAAAGCATGTGCACCACTGTCCAGCTTCTTACTACAACTTTATGTTGTATTTGGTTGATATCCATGGGAAAACCTGCCCTTTCCTGAACAGAAAAAGGAGGAGTGGATTGGAGAGTGGAGACAGAGGAATCAGGGGGAGAGAATGGGAGGAGAGATGGGAAGGAAAATTTTGGCTAGGATGTAAAATAGATATATATATAGAGAGAGAAAGAGAGAGAGAGAGAGACAGACAGACAGACAGACAGACAGACAATAAAAATGGGGAACAGTAAAAGGTTTTGAGCATACAAGGACCAAATTTTTTTCAAAACCATAATGAATTTGAGACTTTCTGGAAGCATTTATCCATACTGCATTGTGTCTTCACTGCAGACTTCATTCTGAACACGCAGTACAAGCACTTTGCACTGCTCAGGTTTACCAGTAAATTCTGCCACAACACCTCCACTCAGATTTGAAACTAATGTTCATTACTTTTTAACTGTATGTAGAGATCAAAGGACAACTTGCAGGAGCCAGTCCTTTCCTGGGTATCAAATTCAGGTCATCAGGCTTAACAGCAAAAACCTTTGCCCACTAACCCATTCTGACTGCATTATGAACTGCTGTGTTTTCATTGTATATCCCAGGTTTTTTGCTTCATAGAAACATGAAGGTTGATTATGGAAAAATATTTTTAATATTTTCCCATTGTTATTCTTCAATGTATAAGTATCAAACCACTTTATCTTTAAATTTGACTGTGTTATTCAAACAAATGCATCAATTTCATTAGGATACAAATTTGTTTTATTTAGTCTTCAATAAATGATAATATTTCATTTATACCTAACAATTTTTCTAAGACCTTTCTTGTGATTATGGAGATCCAACCCAGGGCCTTCTGTATGCTAAACAAGCTGTCACTACCGAGTGTACCCCATACTCTTCTCGTTTTTGTTTTCAGATGGGGATTTCACTGAGTTTCCCAAGCTGTTCTCAATTCATCTGAAGAACAGATTGGCCCAGAATCTGTGATCCTCCTGCCTCAGCCTCCCATAAAGTTGGGATTACAAGACTGTGCCACTATACAGCACAGTTGTGGCACACACCTTTATTCCCAGCATTGGGGAGACAGAAGCAAGCAGATCTCTATGACAACCTTGTCTATAAAACAAGTGCCAGGACAACCAAGGACCCTGTCTTGGGAAAAAGAAAAAAAAAAGATGGTGCTACTACAACCAGCTTAAAATAAATTCATCACTTACTATCAGTGAATGTTTGATTTGTAGGTTATTTTATATATCTATCTAGCCAGGATCGTGCAAAATTTTCTCAGGCACAAATAGCTTTCTAGGTAAACAGTTTAAGAAGCCCTGACCTGGATGTGCTGGAATGGCAAGTACATTCCAAAGTATGTGGAGGTAACATTACAACTGTGCCACAACAGAAACAAAACAGGGCCACGCGTGACCCCCAAGACTAGGCTGTCGTGTGGGGAGATGAAGCGAAAGTATGTTTCTACAGTGGAGAGATCAAGGGCATTGTTACAGCAGCCATTTTACTAACATGAGGAAGCTTACTAGATGACAAAATGCTTCTTCCTCCTGTCTTGACTCTGCTATTACCTCTCAGTGACGTGCCTGGGTCACCTGAACCAGAGAAATTATTGAAAGGGAGGAAAATCCAAGAACAGAACATAAACTATGATCGTGTTTATACTTAAATGGTCTGAACAGAAACGTTTAAAACAATACAAGAAATGAACACAAAATAAAATCACACCTGTAATCCTAGCACCGAGTGAAATGGAGACAAAAGGACCAGAACTTCAAGGTGCCCAGCTACTTAATGAGTTTGAGACCAACCCAGGCTACGTGAGACCCTATCTCAGAAAAAAAAGCAATTATAAAAACATTATTGTGTGTTACTATAAATAACATTTTATTGGCTAAGTACATATTCAAAACAAAAAATAATTACAAGAATGTTTTACCATTTTGCAAACTCAGTGTCTGGTTTAGTAAAATATTGGTGAATGCCCACATCTGCTGATACATTCAGCTCATCATAGAAAGTCATAACTAAAGAGTGTGAAGAAAATATGACCACAAATAAAGCTGTATTTGGAAAAGAAGTATTTTACAACATTCTGTGTTTTAGGTTTTGTTGTTTTTGTATTATTTTAAAAGTTTTTTGAGTCAAGTCCTTGCCAACCCTAAAATGGCTCCCTTAATTAAGATATATACTTCCCTGCTCCCATATCCATCCTTCCTCCATTCCAACCATCCCATTCCCCCAAGCTTTCTCCATTCTCCCCTTCTCACTTCTCTCTCCCCATCTTCCCTTACCCCCACCCCACACCCACCCCAAGCTCCCAATTTTTGCCTGGAAATCTTGCCTACTTCCAGTATCCAGGTGGATAGCTACATGTTTTTCTTTGGGTTCACCATCCTATTTAGTTTCTCTAGGATCACGAATTATAGGCTCAATGTCCTTTATTTATGGCTAGAATCCACTAATGAGTGAGTACATACCATATTCATCTTTTTGGGTCTGGGTTATCTCACTCAGTAAAGCGTTTTCTATTTCTGTCCATTTGCACGCAAAATTCAAGATGTTGCTGTTTTTTTTACCACTGAGTAAAACTCTAATGCATAAATATATTCCACACTTTCTTTTCCATTCTTTCGTTGAGGGGCATCTAGGTTGTTTCCAGGTTCTGGCTATTACAAATAATGCTGTTATGAACATAGTTGAACAAATGCTTTTGTAGTATGATTGGGCATCTCTTGGGTATATTCCCAGGACTCTAGAGGGGATCCCAGGTGTCCAAGGAGATGGTCCCAGTTTGTTCCTTGAGCAGCTGAGGAAAGGGTGCCTCAACTGGCCCTATCCTATAGCCACACTGATGAATATCTTGCATATCACCATAGAACTTTCAGCTGGCAATGGATGGAGATAGAGACAGAGACCCACATTGGAGCATTGGACTGAGTTCCCAAGGTCCAAATGAGGAGCAGAAGGAGGGAGAACATGAGCAAGGAAGTCAGGACCACGAGGGGTGCGCCCACCCACTGAGACGATGGCGCTGATCTAATGGGAGCTCACCAAGGCCAGCTGGACTGGGACTGATGGAGCATGTGGTCAAACCAGACTCTCTGAACGTGGCTGACAAGGAGAGCTGACTGAGAAGCCAAGGACAATGGCACTTACTGTATGTACTGGCTATGTGGGAGCCTAGTCTGTTTGGATGCTCACCTTCCTAGACCTGGGTGGAGGGGGGAGGACCTTGGACTTCCCACAGGGCAGGGAACCCTGACTGCTCTTTGGACTGGAGAGGGAGGGGGAGGGGAATGGGGAGAGGGGAAGGGAAATGGGAGAAGGGGAGGAGGTGGAAATTTTTAATAAAAAAATACATAAACAACTATAAAAATAAAAATAAAAGATTTTTGAGACAAGGCCCCCTTATAGTCAAGACTGGAACTTACTCTGTAGACCGTGTTGGCCTGGAACTTCTGACCCTCCTGCCTCATCCTCCCAGGTGCTGGTTTATGGGCATGAAACACCAAACTCATGACTATTCTTCTGAAGTACTCGGCCAGATTCTACAGTACTCGGCTGTAGACCTTTGGGTATTTATTTGTGGGGTTCTGTGGGAGGAAAGGCACTCATGAGTGTATAGGTCCTTGATGTTTCCCAAGGAGGCCGGAAGAGGGTGTCAGATGTACTGGAGTTGCAGTTACAAGTGATTGTTAGCCACCATATAGGTGCTGGGAATGGACCTCCAGTCCTCTGCAAGAACAGTCAGTGTTCTTAAATCACTGGATCATCTCCACAACCCATCTACCTTCCTTTTTCAGACGCGGTCTCTGACTGGCTTAGATCTCAATAATCCTCTAGGTTCACCAGCCCACCATGTTAGTTAGGGTTTTTATTGCTGTAAAAAGACTCCATGATCACGACAACTCTCATAAATGAAAACATTTAATTGAGGCAGCTCACTTACACTTCCAGAGGTTCAGCCCATTATCATCACGGTAGGGAACATGGCAACATGCAGGCTGTCACAGTGCTGGCTACATTTTGATCAGATGGCAATAGGAAATGATCAGTGACATTGAAAAGCATAGGAAACCTCAAAGCCCACTCCCACAGTGACACACTTCCTCCAACAAGGCCATTACCTACTCCATCATAGACACACACTCTAATAGTGCCACTCCCTAGGAGCTTATGGCGGCCAATTACATTAAAACTTCCACATTCCACCTCCTGGCCCTCATAAATTTGTAACAATGTCATAACGCAAAATGCATTTAGTCCAACTTCAAAAGGCTCCATAGTCGATCACAGTCCTAACAATGTTTAAAATTCCAAAGTCTCTTCTGAGATTCATGCAGTCTCTTAACTGTACTCCCCTATAAAATCAAGATCAAAATCTTCCAACATCTCATTGCACAGGACACATACTGTTCCAAAATGTAGTTGAGGGAACATAGTGAGGAAATACTGGACCAAAGCAAGACAGAAAACTAGCTGGGCAAACTCCAAACTCTGCATCTCCATGTCTGATGTCAAAACACTCTCCAGATCTTCAGATTCCTAATTCCTTTCAGCTTGGTTGACTGCAACACATGTCTTTCTCTTAAGTTGGTTCCACTCCCTGTTAGCAGCTTCCCTGCAAGTATCCTATAGCTCTGGCATCTCCACCATCTTGGGGTCTCTAAGGCAATCCAGGTTTCAGCTTCACACAATGGCTTCTCTAGCTCTCTATTCAGGGACACCCCTGACACATGCCTGTCTCTGCAGCTTTCCTTAGTTGTGGAGGCAAATTCCATAGCTCTTTCAGCTAACCTTAACTCTAGAACCATGTGTCCGAAGATGCCAAGTTCTGCTGCCTGCTGGAACTGAAACATGGCCCTCTCATTCAATCATATCTGTTCTTCACTGCCTAAGTTTGGCTCTTTTGGAATTTGCTCTGTAGACCAGACTGGCCTCAAACTCAGAGATCCACCAGCCTCTGCTTTGTCCTAGTGCCTCCCACAAGCAGTAGGGCTGTCAGACAAAGATACCCAATGTTTTAACATTGTGACATGATGTCATGGCCTGTAACCGTGCAGGGCTGCAAGCATAGTATCCTGAGATAACAGTTTCCTTTCTGCTGCTGGGATAAAACAGCCCAACAAAAAGCAAAACTAGTTGTTGGATATCCGTCAGAGTAGACTGCTCGGAGACAAGTTTTTTTTTTTTTTTTAATTTTTTTTTTATTTTTTAAAGGTACCTGGAGGGACAGCCGTGGGTGCTGGGAACCGAACTCTTATATTTTTGGTTGTGAGCCTAGCCTTTAACGGCTGAGCCATCCCTCCAGGCCTCGGAGACAAGTTTAAGTCAATAGAAAATCTTGTTAGCTGGCCAGCAACTACACTGGGTGCTCAGGATCCCAGTGTAGCCCTGAGCCTTTCTCAGGGTGAGCTTTCAAGCACAAAAACCACATTTTAGGTTGACCTATTTCAGTTGACAAGAACAGTTAGCCAGAAGCAGAACTACAGAAGTCAAAAAGCAAGGTTAGTACACTTAAAGGCTTTTCAAGACAGTCTACGGAGTTTGATGGATTACGTCTTTGATTTTATAGCAGGTGGTACTGTCTATGTGCTGAGTTTTATGAACTTCCATCATGGAGTCAGTTGTGCTATGATCTGAGGACCTATTAAGGTCTGGTGCCCTGTTACATGTCCCAATGGTAGTAAATGAGTCAAATGATTCATCCTTCATAAAATTGGACAAAATAGTTGAAGATGCAGGGTCCACCATTAATCAGTCATAATGAGACTTAAAGGCCCAGCCAGTGTTGGTAATATTGTAGCTAGCCAGGGAGACCAAGAGAACAGAGATTGGTATCAATTATCTGATTTATGTCTTTGTCTCTTTGTTTGAGGTTTTGCTCAATCATGGCAAGATTTTCTCTAATTTATTCCTGATTAATTAACACAGAAACAACAGGTTTTTCCCAAAGCCATACATAGCCCTCCTTATCTCATGAAAAGTAATTATAAGTCTCTCTCATTTTGAGGACCACTTCTGTGAGGGAATCTTACCACTGTTTTAATTCAGAAATGGAAACTTTTAATGCCTCTAGGCACCAATCAACCTGCCTACTTAGTTTTTAAAGTTTGCATCTCCCATGATAAGGACTAGTGTGTCCATGGCTGTTGCTGGCGCCAACCAAGAATGGGCTAAGAACAGGAGCAGCTCCTTTTTATAGTCCAAGGTCAATATTAAAACACATTTTTTTCTTCTTTCCCATTATATAGGGGCAGAATGAGTACTAAGATGCATAAAAGGAGTTCCTCGATTTGGAAAGCTGCTGTGTAATAATTCTCTTGCACACTGTAAAGACTTGTCACTTAAATTGGTTTAATAAACACTGACTGGCCAGTAGCCAGGCAGGAAGTATAAGTGGGGCAACCAGACTAAAGATGATGAGAAGGAGAAGGGTGGGGTGAGGAGTCACCAGTCAGACACAGAGGGAGTAAGAAATGAACATGCCATGCTAATGAAGATATTGCCACATGGCAGAGCATAAATAAGGAACATGGGTTAACTTAAAATGTAAGAGAAAATTATTAATAAGCCTGAGCTATTAGCCAAGTACTTGCAATTTAAATTAAGCCTTTGTGTGACTATTTGAGAGTGGGTTCAGTACAAGAAAACTCCATTTATGGAAAGCATTAGAAGAGAAACATTTAATTAATCTATTAGTATGTGCCCATCAAGAAGACTCAGAGGTTCAGTAATATTGCTATTGTACAGATGAGTCAACCTGCAAGGCAGAATAGCAGGCATCAGAACAAGATGAAGTGCCTAGGCTAAAGGTTTGGGATATTAGAAAAGCTTCAGCACCTTGTAAGTCCTTTAATGTTGATTTGGACTGCTCCCTGCCCCCAGTCACAGTGAGCTTTGTCACTCAGTGACTGACAGTTTGGTTAGCTCCTATCCCTACATAGTTTGGGGATTAGAGGTCTAAGAGTAACCAGAAATGCTTGCCGATTTCTTGCTGGGAATAATTAGCTAAGCGGTGGACCTTGTCAAGAATGGAAAATAGAGATGGGGATCCTCAGCTTCCTAGACAGTGAGGTGGGACTCTGGCCCTGGGTGTTAGAAGTACTTTGGAAACAAAACTAGGTCAGGGCCTAAGCACAGGTAGGAGGTCTTCGTTAGGATCCAAAGGTCTGGGGACCTCGAGGACAGGTTTGAATCTATCCCTAGGGTCCCTTCTTGTGGCATAGATTCCAGTTCTTCAGGCTCTCTCTGTTTCCCAAAGGCCAGAATATTAAGGAATTTTCTGGGAAGCCTCGGTTTCACAACCCCATCTGCCAGGCTGTCGGGTCTAAGTATAACATACCTTGGTCTGAGCAACTCAGGCCGTGTTGTAGGCTGCAGATGACCAGCCTGGGGAAGGACAGTTTCTGGGGGAGTGATCTGTCCCTCTGGTGTCCTCTGCCAACCTTCTTGCATTCTGTTTCTTCTTGGTTGTACCATGGAGTCTCAGGTAATACTGGGTCAGGGTATGTCCTCAGAATACCAACAGGCCCCACTCTCTTAGGGCCATTTGGAGACATCCAGGTCAGTTTGCCAGTGACCTCTTCTCCCAGGGGAATCACCGTTCTATGTCCTCCAACTAGAGAAGTAGAAGACAGCAATTCATAGGTGAAGCCAAATAGCCTCTAGGATGGCTACGATTTTCTCTTTGTTTTTAATGTCTGTTCCCTGAGTGGTGAGAAGACCTTTCTCTGTCGCTCATACCATGGACATGTGCAGTAGTAAAAGCACAGAAACTGTCCATGTAAATGGTGTTGGACTTTTCTTTTCCCCTTCTGAAAGCCTGTGTCACATTGGTCAGTTCTGCTCTCTAGGCTGGGACCCCTGGCTTGGGCCCAAATTGCTGCAATTAAAGTGACTGCTATAGATCT